CTCTTTTGATAATTGGTACAAGTAAAATTGATCCACAACTACAAAGTATTGTCGGTGGAAAATCACAATTACATAAATCTCATTAGTGTTTTTGTTTTACTGTGATTCATTTCAATTATTTGTTAGTTATTAATATGCTTAAACTTAGATACTTCAGTTAAGTTTTCTTTGTCATCATTTCTGTCGTTAAGTTTTACATTGCAAGTGAATAAAACCGAGTAATTATCATTCTGTGTTTTCTTCTTCAACTCATCACAGCAATAGTAACAACAATTAGGTAATCATTGGCTGTAGCGGGCCAGATTGATGACAGTAAATCATTAGCTGTCGCGGGCCGGATTGATGACACTGGCGGGCCGTAGTTTAGAGACCCCTGACCTAGAAGGACAACTCCTCGGGAGGATGTAAAATGGGTCACATGTGGCCTAAGTGCTGTGGGACTACACTCACCCTCCCTACTCTACATTTACATAAGGACACATTGTAAAATTGGTTTAAGACTTATAGATGAAGCAATATTGTGAAATTAATTTAAGACACTTGAGACGAAGGTACCTAGAAGAAGTATCTATGGTATAAATAAGGATAACATTGTAAGTATATTTAGTTTAATCTTCCTCGTGAACATCATCACTTGGTGATCGAAACAGTGTCGAGAGTTAAAATAACGGTTTGGTGTTAGGAAAAAACTCCAGTAATATTCAATACTTAACATGGTTACACCTTGTGAAGGATCATTTAATATTATTTTTAATGACTGCAGTATTTGATACAAAATCGTCAGACTACAAAAAATCATCTCATGATGTCGTTTCAGATCAATTCACGACAATTTCGCTGATAATGATGCATATGCCTTGAGTGAAACAACAATACAAAATGCATCAACTGGATGAAATAACATATCAGCAATTTTCAAAAGGGGTGGAGCAACAGTTTTTAAATTGTTTGAAAAACGTGATGAATCATGTCATAAGAATCGATACTACTCTCAAAGTGTACCTACACAACGGGTGTGAAGTTATCCACATCCACAAAGTACACTGAGAAAAAAATATCGCATTCTTATTTTTTTCATTTACCTACTCTGCACACCTACCATTTTTCAATATGATACGCTTATTTACTGGTTTAGTGGAAAAAAAGAACGGTTCTTTATTATTGAACCGTCTGAAGGGGTGAAAATAGGGTGGGGAAATATTTTAAAAAATCGTAACAAGAAAAATCGAGGTTGTACACCTACAAAATTGAGATATGTTATTCCTGTTGATATATTCGACAAGAAAAACTTCACGTTATATTTTTCCAGGCCGTCTGAGGGGGTGAAAATGGGGTGGAGAGTTGAAAAAATCGTATCTACTGAAATTGAATGTGTACACCTACAAGTTTGAAAAATGTTATCCGTGATGATCTATTCGACAAAAAAAACTTCACGTAATAGTTTTCCAGGCCGTCTGAGCGTGTGAACATGGGGTGAAAATATCAAAAAATGTCTTTCTTATTAGTCAGTGGACTATGCTTGAAGACTGGCACTGAACAAATCTAAAGAAATGAACTTTCAATGTTCAAGTCAGTCTCGGATATACCTACACAGTAGGCTGAATGGACTGACGCCTATCAGCAAACAACTACTCCCCTGGATTATATACGACAGGCGTCAGTGCAGGAATCTTCACAGAAAATTTCCTGCATATGGAATTGGCAATACAACTGAAAGAGTCGACCTTCAATTTTGGAACTGGCACACTTGCAGACCGGTTTCGGGCTCATTAGCCATTCATCAGTGCAAGATAGTGGCCCCATCATCGACCTAAAGTCAATTCCATAATTGAAAATTGGAATTCTTTCAGAGTAATTCATTCCTCTTCCTAAGTTGGAGCGAAACAACAAAATGTCACTCCATCTAGTGGACGAAGTACTAACCAACTGCATATCCGTAATTTGTCCGATTCCTCTGAATAAGGAAGAAAAACTTTTTTATTAGTCAATGGGCTATGCTTGTCCATCTCGTCCACATAGATCCGTGGTGTAGAGTGCAATAGCAGAGAGGTCTTACAAAACGCAAGTAGTTTTATTCTCTATCGGTACCTTTGATGTTGTCAGTACGTATCTTTTACGTCTATATATAGGTTTTTGTTACGATGTCTGGCACAGTGTTGCCAAATAGTCTAACGCTTTGTTTCTGTGATCGAGAATATAAAAATGATTGACAAATTTACTTGTAGGTGTACACATTCAATTTTCTAAGATACGATTTTTTCAACTTTCCACTCCATTTTCACCCCCTCAGACGGCCTGGAAAACTATGACGTGCATTTTTTTGTGTCGAATAGATCATCATGGATAACTTATCTCAAACTTGTAGGTGTAGGTTTTCTAAGATACAATTTTGTCAACTTTCCACCCAATTTCCACCCCCTCAGACGGCCTGGAAAACTATAACGTGAAGTTTTTCTTATCGAATAGATCATTAGGAAGAACATATCTCAATTTTGTAGGTGTACAAAGTCGATTTTTCATGTTACGATGTTTAAAATATTTCCACCCCGTTTTTACCCCTTCAGACAGTTTAATAAACTAGGACGGTTCTTTTTTTACTAATTCAGTTAATAAGCGTATCATATTGAAAAATGGTAGGTGTGCAGAGTCGTGTGTAAAAATAACGGGTTAACAGTCAATGTCACCAAAACGGTATTTATGATTTTCCAGCAGAAAAACATTTCCTATGATTTTTGTCCTCTTATAAGAATTTTAAATCTCCTAATATAAGTCAATAAGATGCTTTTCTTTTATTTTTGTAATGTACATGTATGTATCTATTTATATTTTATATATAGCCAAGTGCTCACGTTTGACTAGTCTGATAAGTGTTATGTAATGCACTGCAATTGTAAAATTTTTAATGATGAATAAATTCATTTCTATTCTATTCTATTCTGTTTTCTGGTAAAATAACAACAATTGATCTTTTTACAAATTTCCAGAATCATTATCATTCCTACAAAGATTTACAATGAAACATGCAATGTGCAAAAGAAGTTAGGTATATTCATGCAAAATTAGAAAAAGAAACAAGTATTACTGAATTTTTTGGTATTTTTAATTAGGAAAATATATTAATCATTCAAGACAAATTATAACTATAGATGCAACAACACCATAATATAATATCCTATGAAATCATTTTTTATATAAATACACTTCATTAATAGGACTGTAAATTGCTTACCATGTAATACAGACTATTCCTTGCACTCTCATTGCTTCCAGTAGATCCTTCCCTTTTTATAATGGCAGAATCTAGCGAATCCTTTCGATAATGAAAAGGTTCAGCATAAACAGGTTCTTTCTGCGGACTACCAACAAAAAAATTTGAACTGGGTTCTTTTATTTTCTCATAATTGGTCATACCAAATCTCAACCCATTCAAACAATTGAAATTGAAGGCTGACATACTGTCATCTTCAGTATCTTGACTTGGTAATCGAGGTAGAGTTCTGTTAGATTTACTATTAAACAAAAGACTATCATCGCTATCTTCCCCAGAAGTTGTGTGTCTGTCAACTTTGGGTTGTTTTCTGGTCCTCAACTTATTGTTCCTCAAGGCATTTTCCAGTTTGGTGAGCATGTATTTGGGATCAGCTTTTTTATTAGCAGTTGTGGGTGAGATGTGCACTTTCTCCTCAGGTTTTTTGGACTCATGTAAAAATGAAGGATTTTTCTCAAGATTATTTGAAATCATATCGGTATTCAGGATTTGGAACACTCTAGGTGGTTTCCTAGGTGCAGGACCAATTGGTAAAGGACGTTTGAGAGCTGTTTTCAAAGTATCGGTAAGGCCTTCTGTTACTAGAGTAGGGAGTGACAATTCATTACCTTGTTTATGTGTTGTTGAATTATGGCCAGTGTTATTAACTAACGCTTGGGCAGGAACAGTCTTATTACGTAGAGCTTTCGGTATGGGCTCAGTGTACAGTAAATTTAAATCACAATTATTAATATTTTCAGTATCTTCAGAATCATAATTGTTTTTATCTTTTGGAATTTTCTCACACAAACTATTGACTGGAGTGTGATCGAACATGTTTCGAATGACCTTGAAGTCAAGAGAGCTTTTTGATTTGATTAACACTGATTTAGAACTGTTAGTAAAATTATTCCTCTTTTCAGACATTTTAGTATTCAATAGTGGCTGCTTGTCACACGTCACATTGTTCACAAAATAGTTGTTACTATCACAGTTTTGTCTAACAGCACTAAATTGTTTAACTTTGCTTTCGAATAAGGTACTTCGGTTAACACAATTTCTTTGAAACTCATTGGCTTGCTCCAGATTTTTATCCACTCGAAAAGCTGGAGTTCTCTTGATGTTGCATTTNCTAATATAAGTCAATAAGATGCTTTTCTTTTATTTTTGTAATGTACATGTATGTATCTATTTATATTTTATATATAGCCAAGTGCTCACGTTTGACTAGTCTGATAAGTGTTATGTAATGCACTGCAATTGTAAAATTTTTAATGATGAATAAATTCATTTCTATTCTATTCTATTCTGTTTTCTGGTAAAATAACAACAATTGATCTTTTTACAAATTTCCAGAATCATTATCATTCCTACAAAGATTTACAATGAAACATGCAATGTGCAAAAGAAGTTAGGTATATTCATGCAAAATTAGAAAAAGAAACAAGTATTACTGAATTTTTTGGTATTTTTAATTAGGCAAATATATTAATCATTCAAGACAAATTATAACTATAGATGCAACAACACCATAATATCCTATGAAATCATTTTTTATATAAATACACTTCATTAATAGGACTGTAAATTGCTTACCATGTAATACAGACTATTCCTTGCACTCTCATTGCTTCCAGTAGATCCTTCCCTTTTTATAATGGCAGAATCTAGCGAATCCTTTCGATAATGAAAAGGTTCAGCATAAACAGGTTCTTTCTGCGGACTACCAACAAAAAAATTTGAACTGGGTTCTTTTATTTTCTCATAATTGGTCATACCAAATCTCAACCCATTCAAACAATTGAAATTGAAGGCTGACATACTGTCATCTTCAGTATCTTGACTTGGTAATCGAGGTAGAGTTCTGTTAGATTTACTATTAAACAAAAGACTATCATCGCTATCTTCCCCAGAAGTTGTGTGTCTGTCAACTTTGGGTTGTTTTCTGGTCCTCAACTTATTGTTCCTCAAGGCATTTTCCAGTTTGGTGAGCATGTATTTGGGATCAGCTTTTTTATTAGCAGTTGTGGGTGAGGTGTGCACTTTCTCCTCAGGTTTTTTGGACTCATGTAAAAATGAAGGATTTTTCTCAAGATTATTTGAAACCATATCGGTATTCAGGATTTGGAACACTCTAGGTGGTTTCCTAGGTGCAGGACCAATTGGTAAAGGACGTTTGAGAGCTGTTTTCAAAGTATCGGTAAGGCCTTCTGTTACTAGAGTAGGGAGTGACAATTCATTACCTTGTTTATGTGTTGTTGAATTATGGCCAGTGTTATTAACTAACGCTTGGGCAGGAACAGTCTTATTACGTAGAGCTTTCGGTATGGGCTCAGTGTACAGTAAATTTAAATCACAATTATTAATATTTTCAGTATCTTCAGAATCATAATTGTTTTTATCTTTTGGAATTTTCTCACACAAACTATTGACTGGAGTGTGATCGAACATGTTTCGAATGACCTTGAAGTCAAGAGAGCTTTTTGATTTGATTAACACTGATTTCGAACTGTTAGTAAAATTATTCCTCTTTTCAGACATTTTAGTATTCAATAGTGGCTGCTTGTCACACGTCACATTGTTCACAAAATAGTTGTTACTATCACAGTTTTGTCTAACAGCACTAAATTGTTTAACTTTGCTTTCGAATAAGGTACTTCGGTTAACACAATTTCTTTGAAACTCATTGGCTTGCTCCAGATTTTTATCCACTCGAAAAGCTGGAGTTCTCTTGATGTTGCATTTTCCTTGATCACTGGTTTGCCTCTGCAGGATCTGGCTCGTGATCTGGTGTCCATTTCGGAAATTTTCAGGGACTTTTTTATTTGCAGGATCAGCCAAATTCAAGTTATTCCTGTATCCATCTTTGATATTTTTCTGTTGAAAATTATCGTTTTCAATGTTTTCAAACTTGTTTTTGATTGACTTCACTATATTGTTGTTTTGAGGTGGTCTATACATTACTTATTTGGAATAAATCTTCTTCAAATTGCATGGCAAGATACAGGAAGTGTTCATTTATTAATGGATAGCAACAAGTGGCACAGTGAGTAAAGTAGGGTTAAACTGTAAATAAAAATATATAACTTACAAGGAATACTAGTGGAAAGTTATATTATTAATAGTTTATGTTCAATAAAACAACTTACCAGGAGTTGGAGACAGTGGTCTACCAAAGATTACTTAAAATATGAAAATTTCAATTAGTCAGCAGCAATATCAACAATGTATTCTACTCCAAACTTGCCCAGCTGCACTTATACTTCTTATGTCAAAATTGTCAAGTCAAGCTGTAAAATCTGGGTTTATATTTCAATCACTTAAAGTGAGGTCGGTGTTAATATGAACACTAGTACTTACAATAGGCAACTAATGTTACATCTTCCTCGTCAAGACGATTGCCTACCTTTCGACCTATCTATAACCAATTACAAAACAGTGCCATGATGGCTAATTTTCTAACCAATAGTCTCTCTCTTTCTATGTCTAAATGGCTATTGTTCATTGTTCCTTATCAGGCGCATTCAACCACTACTCCCTTTCACCGACATAACCTATAAAGTTATGTCGGTTAAGGTTATGTCGGTGCTCCTGCTTCATATATGGTATATGGTCTGTGATAACTGTGCTATGGAACAGAAGTTTCGTTCGGCTTCTTGCGTTATGCAACCCTGCATCCGTTTTTTGTTTTTTTAACCATTTCTGTGTCTTCTTTTTTACTTTATTCTTCTGGGTGCTGAGGGATTGATGATAAATAGCATAAAACAGCGAAAGGATGTAGCGAGGATGAGGAACGAAGGTATCATCAAAAACTCGTTCGGTATTTTGATGATTCTTACATTCATATAGTATAGGACTGTACATAAACATGCCTAGGGGTGCAGGTGTCCCGGTGCTTTGGGTGAATATTGTACTCAGGGATAATATTGATGGGACATTCAAAGAAAATATTTATGATTTATTGTTTCTGGTTTCCCACATCACATCACTTACCCCTATCCAAATATTCATACAATGTCCAGTTTTATAATAGTTGTCTATTCATGGCTGGATTTTTTCAGTACCAAGGTAACTAATGTTACATCTTATTCTGAGTGGATCTTAAAATATGGTTTACCTTTCTTTTGTATGTTGTGCTTCGATTGATTATGAAATTGTTTTCCGATCTTCTTTTTTGAGTGTGGTAAGAAGTTTTAATTAATTAATCTTTTAATATCGGTTAATCTTTTTTAATATTTTTCAGGAATTTCAAATCAATTTATATTATATTAGACAATGGAAGTCTGAACTGATGAAATGTTCAATGATATATTCTTGGCACAGAATATGCTGACTAGAATAATTGCTGAAAAGAAAAGAAATGTATCATGCAGACCAATTTTCAAAGAATTAGGTGTTCTCACTCTGCCATGTCTACTTATCTTGTTTGTACATATTCAATAACAAGGATACTTGCATGAAAATTAAAAAAAAACTAGTCAAAAAAATGATTACTAGGAGCCCATTTGTAAATAAAAACTGACAACAAATGCTTCTTCACACCTAGGCCTGAAAATATTTAATAAACTTCCCTGTTATATAAAACACAAATCAGTCAACAGTTAAATTGAAAAAAAATCTTTGGAATATTTTATTAGAAAAATGCTTTTACTCACTAGCCGAGTTTCATGATGAATACTCTTACAGTTATTGGTTTTATGCATAAGCTGTAGTTAATGTATCAACGTTCTGTGTGTGCAATTGTTATTTGTACATACTTTTCTTTATAATTTTGCATTTTCTGTATTTTTTTTGGATTATTATTTTTTTTGTTTTTTTCATGATCTATAATAAGCAAGACTATTCTTATATAAATTTTGAATTTGTCAAAAAGAAAATAAATCTTTAGACTATGTATGACAATGTATGATCTTTCTTAGACGTATTTATGACTATCTCTACCTTATTGTCATTTTTATGCATTCTGATATTGTTCCGCAAAACTTAAAAATTTCGCTATATCATATTACCTTAATTTTGTGTCTTCTAATTCTATTTCTTGTGTGTACATAGTACGTATCATATTCGAAACTGAAAGCTTGTAAAATGTTGGCAAGTTGGCAGATACTCGATGAAAATCCATAACTAACGAATTCACAAAACACTTTGTGAGATTTTCACTAAACAGTTTTACAAAAACGCAACACGGGTTTCGCCATGCAATGGCTTCTTCGGGCGTGTATATCCCCTTGCTTGTCTTTCAAATAAATTCATCTTTTTTTTTTGGGGAAATATTACTTTTGGAATAGTCATTCCATTTTTACTTTGACTTTTTCCGTAATTGAATTTATATCGGAATTTTTGTTGAATAAAATTCAGAATATATTATTCAGGTTCAGAGGATATCATTGTTCCTCCCCTCCAATTATTGTAACAACTTTTTCTAATTGATTTCATTGCTTCACATGATATCGAGAAAACCGTATACTAGGTGAAGAATTGATACCATAAGGAGGTCCCATATCTAAGAGTCGAAGAGGCACCCTAACATGAGCCATAAAACCATCTACAGTCAGATCAGGTAGTTACAAGTCTCTGCAGCACTGAAGTACACCGTAGCGTAGCTCTTCGTAAGAACCATCTACGAAATCTCAGCCACCCCAGGTATTCACAAATAACCAACCAACCAAGAAATTGAATAAGATATCAGATGTAAATATTCTGAATTGTTATATTTGTAGTTATAGAAAAATAATTATATTTTTGGCTCTCAGTATATTGTCAAGTATAAAGAAATAAAGTTGTTAATTATTTTCCTATATTTAAGCTAGATACAATTTACTTTACCATATTACCTTCCCGTCCGGTTTTGTCTTTTGCAACCTGGCGCCTAACTATCCGAATTAGTCAAGTAAACTTATGGTTTATTTGATAAATCTGTTTGAAATATGTTTTTCCGTTAATCAGCTGCCGCCCCCATACGAACGACAACTCTTAGAAGTTAAGAAACTTGTGCGAGCTAAGGACTAACGAGGTCTTACCTTTTAACATGTGATTCCTAACACGGGTTCATTAATTTGAAATAACTATCGATCAATCATTTGTTAAATTTACTCACACCCTCACCAAATCAATCTGAGCAGCCTACCAGCACAAGTGATAATTTTCAATGATTTTGAATTCAATTTATAAAATTTGCATTTTCAAAATTGAGGAGCGTGACACAGTATTCTGAATATCAAATTGGCCATATTAGTTTCGACACCATATTGTAATAGATAATTTACTTTTATTTAATCCCAAAGATGCGCACTCGCTCTATGCTCGATGCNGAGCTCAAATTCAGATTCTTCTAAAGTGACCCCTAATAACTTTGACAATTCATAAAAGTTAGAGCCCATGTCACTCACAATGCCATCAACATGCAGACCTATATTGGATAATTTAGAAATGCACTTATCCAAAATATCAAGTATATTTTTTTCTGGTAGCTGGGATTCAATGAAAAAAAAAGCAATTGGTTGTTTCCAGGGAGAATAAAGTTCTCTATAGGCATAATAACGAGAACATTTCTACATATGGAATTCCTCTTATTTGCCTCTCCAATAACTTCGAAGCCAATAATTTCATCACATCCTGTATCAAAAAAAAGATTAGATTTTAAAGCCATCTCATCTATAGATATCACACATCGCTTGTCCTGTTCGAGCATTGTTTTAATTTTAATTTCAAATGCCTCTTTCTTAAATAGCATAATTTTAATGTATACCGAGTTAGGTAGGTACCTTTTGTAACTAACTACCTATCTCATTATGTTTGCTCAGTGCTCACAGACTAATGGAGACAGCTAAGCCCGAGAATGATGTGGGACAACCAAGTCGACGCATGCGTCTACGAAAAAGGACACAAAATGACCGTCTTTGTCTCTTCTCTTGGTACATTATTCGCCGCGTTTTTGGTCTAGATCGAATTGCCACAGAGTCTTTAGTTCTGAGTTCTGATTCTATTTCTTTTAGATCTAGCCACTGAAAATGAAAAAATGAATAAAAATCTATTTGAAGTAATTACAGAAACTAATAACAACTACTCGAAGACCACGTTAAAAGCCGAGAACAGAACTCACTATATATTTTAGTTCTCAGCCCCCCTATTTCTCAAAGTGGCCGAGAAAAGCTGGTTCTCGGTCAATGGGTGCTTGAGATTATTTATAATCGAAATAAATAGAAATATAGAAACTAATTGACGGCCGCAATCCAATGTGCGAAAAGAGCGCATACAAGTATACAAATTATGATAAAAAAAGAAAATTGTAAATGTAATAATGCCTACTTCTCTATCAGTGCTGTCCCTTTCATAACAATCACTGTCTAGATTATGAACTGTACCAATTCCCTCATCCGATTCTAAATCTGAGTCATCATGAATTTTTTGGAGGAAAATCCCCCTTCCCTCTCGCCCCAACATTTAAATCAATCCCGCTCTTCGTTCCCTAGAGCGTAGTGTCTGTGGTGCTATTCTTTACGTAAGGCTCAGTGTCTTTGTGATTTTTGGCTTCAATTTGTATTTGGATTGTGTTATTCATTTTTGTTACATAGTTACATATTATATTATTTATTACATACAGAGAAGGTATGTTCTCAGTGTCTGCAAGTGTAGACTAATATTGGCAATAACTTCCGTGTTGGTTATTTCTATGAAATCTGATATGTATTTTTTCTTGTTCTCATTATCAGACCAATATTTGCATTTTTAGCATTGTCAAGACAGTTTCAAAAGATATACTAGTTTTCAGTGGCGTAGATATGGAGAGTTTCAGTTTTTCTGCCTGAAATATTGTTCAATGTTTCAACATATTAATTAAAAAATATACTTTTTATCATCTGCTAACAACGTGAATGATCTTGTGATGTTGACTGGTAAGGCCATTGATAAATTTTCTGATTGATTCGGCCGTTACTTGATGAAGATCCATAGTAATTTCAAAAACTACACCTCACGATTTATCTTCACAAACTTTATTTTGAAAAATATATCACGTTTTGCTAGCACAGTAGCTTTTTCAAGTGGTTACTACGTGGTAGGAAATCATTATGAAAAAAAGAGAATTGAAACTTTCTATGATTTTTACCACTTTTATTTGTAATTAACGTTACTGCAGTTTCGTCCTATAAGGACATTTTCAAACTTATACATTAAACAAAAAATGATTGATTACATTAGCCCTTATATAACACTACTGTAGCTTAATTGAGTACCTGAATTTTCTTTACTTGTGACAATGGGAATAGGCTAATGTGAAACCGGTGAATAAATTATATCGATTTGATCAATTAACAGGTTTCACCCACAATGTTTAAGTTTATGAATTTCCAAGGATTCCAAATAATTGAATTTGCATCCCTTCCTTGCATAGTGCAAAATTTCCGCATCGTTTAGATTCGAGAACTTGTGGTTGCATGCCAAGTAGAGGTTTGAAAACGTCGAATCATTTTTACCTAGTCTGAAGGACCTTTCATGTTCAGCATACCGTTTTGAGAAATTTCGACTACATTGTCCCACAAACCCTATTACAATCTGAACACTTAAGTTTATAAACTCCAGATTTCTACAACTTATCCACTTTATCTTTGGCATTGAAAAGGAAATCAGATAACCTGGCATGTGGCCTGAATGCCACTTCCACATTGTTTTTTTCTGAAGAAAACCGCAATTATCTGTTCATTTACCAAAATATGTTAGAGTGACCTGTAAAAATAGCTGGAAAATAACAATTATATTCGCAAAAAAAACTTAAATTACAAAGATATACAAGCAACAACCAAAACATCAAAAAATTGAACAATTTATAAAAATTATTAACAAGAAAAGAAACTTAAAAGATTCCAAGCCAAGTTACTTTACGACGTTTCGATTGTTAGTATCCAAAATACTCTTCGTCCTCCGAAATCTGATGGTGATTGAGGCATGATTACGGTGTTGTATGAATTGTTT